TGAAAAAGTTAAGTTTTTGTCATTTAAAACTTCTCTTTTTATGACGAAATAATCATTTACCTGACAAAATTTTCATAATAAACGTGACGAAATTATTGTCACGAAAAGTGACCAAATAACATGACAAAACTTATAAACGTCATTAAAAGTGAAATATATGGTGACAAATTCAAAATTTGTCACCTATACCTAATATGACGCGGCTACGGTGACGGCCGCTGTGACGATAAATTTTCGTCATTAATATACTGTTGTGACGAAAAACAAGGTTTATATCACTAAATTTTTCGTCATGTTTTGCAAAATTTCTTGTAGTGGGGACAAACAACTCCCTCATACTTAAACCTTTGTTTGTCCAGAACAAAGAAATGAAAAGAAGACAAACAAATGAGCATGGACATGGTTTCAAACAAGATTAATCTCAAACCTGTCAATCAAGTCGAGAAGAATTCCAATGATCATAATAGCAAACCTCAACTATTAACTTGGTTACTTCGAAAAACAAAGACTCTCGAGTACGAAAATATATCATATGCCTCACTCAGTTTCTTTCGCAAATATGAGATAGGTACGCTCAAGCTGGTCATCAATCAAATCAATCATAAGTTTGCCTATTATCTAACCTTTACTCTAAAACAATCAAGTTCGTAAAACAATGAATCAAGAGGACTTCTAGGGATGAAATGTAGGCTCTTTGGATCGGGTAGGATACATATAGGTTAAGTGGCTCAAATAAAAACAAATTCAACTCAATTCCATCACCCAACCGTGATCATAAACACCTCCGGTTACCAAACACTAACCGGTTCCTCCCTACTAACTCCAACACCAACACACTTCCCAAACAATATTCGAACATTATTTTTGTTATTATTTTTATTATATATATATATATAATTTTTTTAGGATAACCTTTTGGACAATTTATCTAGGTTTGGCCTTCGGGTTTTCCGCCCGAGTCTCCTAGACCGGTTTCCTGTACTCATTGCTCATTTCCACTTACATTAGTGGTCAAGCACTTGGAGTAAATTCCATTCGGCCTCCATTTTTCTTTTTTTTTTTTTTGGATGACAAAGTTCATATTCAGCTGATAATAAAACATATTCATCTTATAACACAAAATCTTCATCTTATAATTTGACATGTTAATTATACAGTGAAGCATATTCATCATATTAAAAAACATATTACGTACGAAATCAACTTATTCATCGTGTACAAAATCAACATATTCATCGTGTTAATAAACATGTTCATCTAAAAAAAAAACATGTACAGCTTATAATTTAACATATTTAGCTGATAATAGAACATATTCATCTTATAACATAACATATTCATCTTATAAGTTGACATGTTCATTTTACTAAGAAACATATTCATCATGTTAAAAAACATGTTACGTAAAAAATCAACATATTCATCGCCTTAATAAACATGTTCATCTGAGAAAGCAAAAAAAAATCAACATATACATCTTGTACAAAAATCAACATATTCATCGCGTTAATAAACATGTTCATCTGAGAAAGCAAAATGTTCATCTAGTAACAAAACATGTTCATAGATAACCACGTGAAACGCGCTTCCTAAATAGGCACGTGAACATGTTTTGTTACCTACTCTGCGCGTGGTTAGGACATACATTTGAAATGAATTCATGCGCCTATTTAGGAAGTGCGTTTCACCTACTGTCATGGCATACCTAGCAAGGTCTTCCATGCCTTATGTTCCTGTATTCCCTGTCCCAGGTGATGATGAAAATTAATATTTTAGTCCAAGTAATTAAAGAGTCTCACTTGATCCAAATTTCTCACCAATTAATTCCTCTGCACAACAAGTACGTGTGCCCTGGCACACCTAGCAAGGTGTGTTGGGGCAATTATGCACGCACCATTCACCCCCCAAAAACCCAGCAAAATGAGAGATTGTAGTACACATGCCACTTTTTTTTTTAATTGAAAATGAGACATATTAGATAAATTAAAAATATCATTAATGATTTATCGACATCAACATCAACATACCCGGTATATTCCCAAGAGGTTGGGGTCTGGGGGGTTAGTTGTACGCAGGCCTTACCCTTGTAATTATACAAGAAGGTTGTTTCCATAGCGACCCAAGGTGCGTTGCTTTGTTTGATATATATTTTTTTTTTCTAGAAACTTCACTAATAGAAGAAGCACTAGAATTTAATTGAGCCATTTTGATCTAGTCCATTATTAGAACTATGCCAGGAGAATTGTCAACAATGACTCTTCCAGCTCCATATGCAATAGACAGATCATTAATGATTTATATTAAAATAAAAAAATAAAAATACCAAAATTCATAATTTTTCATTCTCTATAAATAGAGACCACATTTAAAAGGTTTTTGAACATAATTAATTTTTATTTTTATTTTTGTAATCAATTTATTATACTGACATAAGATGAACATGTTACATAATAAGATGAATATCTAATCAAATAAGATGAACATGTTACGGAATGCGGAATGAAATAATACATGTTCATCTTATTTTATAACATGTTCATCTCATTTTGTAGCATATTCATCTTATTTTATAACATGTTCATCTTACTATGTAACAAGTTTATCTTATTATATATGAGCGTCTTCATCTTCCAATAAGATAAATTAATTATGAAAAGTAATAAAGTAATTGTGTTCTAAAACCTATTAAATGTGGTCTCTATTCGTAGAGAATGAAAAATTATAAATTTTGGTATTTTTATTTTTATTTTTTAATATAAAATATGAATGATAATTTAGTTTATATAATTTGATATATAAATTCATTATCGAATAGATATGGGACACTTGTCCTATTTAGAAAAAAACCTTACCTCACGCGTTTTTTTAGGGATTGTATTACACAAAGGCCTTGGCATACCTAGCAAGGTGATGTAGAGCGTAGTACGAATTGGGAAGAATATGAGATACTCTCTCTTGAAATAGAACGATCAGTTTTTCAATTCATCAAAATCTGTCCTTTATTCGTCCAATACAGCATAAATAATAAAGGAGAAACCTAGACTTGCCAAAACACTTGCAAGCTAATTATTATCCTACCATAATTATTAAAATTACTAAAGAAAATAAACTAGAAAAGCAATAATAATAATAAGAGATAAAATAGATTAAACCCGGAGCCGGACGTATTTATTCAAAAATGCAATGGCGGTCTCGTCTTCATCATCCTCCCTCGGTTGAGGAGGATTCGCCCTCGACTCCGAACCGGTCTCGTCTTCCTCCGAATTGTCACCCACAAAAGGCACCAAATGCTTGACATTGAACACATCTGACGTACGAATATGAGACGGAAGACGAAGGCGATAAGCATTCAGATTAATCTTCTCAATTACCTCGATCGGGCCGATCTTCCGGGCCGACAAATTGTTGTACTCGTGGGCCGTGAACCTGTCCTTCGTCAACACAGCCCAAACATAATCACCAACCGAAAACTCAATGTGTCGCCTGCGCGAATCAGCACGCCGCTTGTAAGCCTCCGTCGTGGCCTCGAGTCGAGCCTGCGCCACCGCATGAGTCTCCTTCAGCCCGACAATGAGGTCGACCGCACGCCGATCGTTGGCCGCCGAGGATGGAAGCGCTAATAAATCTGAAGGACCTCGAGGTCGGACCGCATAAACAACTTCAAATGGGGAGAGGCCCGTGGCGCGACTGACAGCTGAATTATGAGCAAATTCAGCCTGACTGAGTTTCTGGTCCCAACTGCGAAGGTGATCACCCACTAAGCAACGAAGCAGGTTGCCCAAAGAATGATTCACCACCTCCGTTTGGCCGTCTGTCTGGGGATAATAAGCACTACTTAAGTCCAAACGAGTATTGGCCATGCGCCAGAGGCTACGCCAAAAATGACTGAGAAAGCGAGTGTCACAGTCCGACACGATAGAGGACGGAAGGCCATGGAGGCGATAGACCTCCCGAAAGAACAAGAAGGCCACATGGACTGCATCCGTGGTGCGTTTGCATGGGATAAAGTGCACCATCTTCGAAAACCTGTCGACCACCACAAAGATAGAATCAAAGCCCCACTGGGTACGTGGCAGTCCCAATACGAAATCCATGCTAATTGCACTCCACGGCTGCGAGGGAATAGGAAGGGGGCGATAGAGGCCGACATTCGAGGCAACACCCTTCGAGACGTGGCAGACTCGACACCGCTCGACGAACCGACCGACATCCAGCCGAAGAGAAGGCCAAAAATAAGACCGCCCTAGAAGAAGGACCGAGCGGTCACGACCAACGTGCCCAGCGCCATGCAAATCCCTAATGAGCTTCAACCGCAGACTACAACCTGGAATGCAAAGTCGAACGCCCTGAAAGAGAAACCCATCAGACATGGAATAATCCTCAACGGGCCCGAGCGCTAGACGATGCACAATCGGCCCAAAAAATGGGTCATCAGTATACAACTCACGCAAAACAGCAAACCCCACAACGGAGACCCGCATATCAATCAACAATACATCACGCCGGCTTAATGCGTCTGCCACCCTGTTCGAAACCCCCGAACGATGTCGAAGAACAAATGTAAACTACTGCAAAAATGCGGTCCATGAGGCATGGCGAGCCAAAATATTATCCTGGGTCGCAAGATGACGCAAAGCCTCGTGGTCAATGTACAAGATGAACTCCCGATGAAAGAGGTAATGGCGCCACTGGCGCACTGCCCGGACGACTGCATAGAATTATACGTCATACGTACTGTAACGGGATCGCGGTCCCCAAAGCTTCTCTCTAAAGAACGACACTGGCCTACCGTCTTGCCCAAGAACAGCCCCAATTCCCACCTTCGAAGCGTCGCAGGAAAGCTCAAACGTCTTCGAAAAATATGGTAAGATGAGCACTGGAGCTGAAGTCAACTTG